GGGGGGGGGGGGGGGGGGGGGGGGGGGGGGGGGGGGGGGGGGGGGGGGGGGGGGGGGGGGGGGGGGGGGGGGGGGGGGGGGGGGGGGGGGGGGGGGGGGGGGGGGGGGGGGGGGGGGGGGGGGGTTAGCATTTATCCCATATTTTCCATCTTTTGTTTGCTGACAACATTTGTTATTTTTAATTTTTTTTGTTTGGGCGAGGAGGATTATTTTGTCAATCTAAGTAGGTTTTTTTCCTTCCTTGAGGCATTCTCTGACTTGAAGACCAATAGGGGGAAGAGTTTAATTGTAGGTTGGGTGTGAAGTTAGTCAGCTCGCCATTGCTAGCTTGGGCCCCCTTTGGGTGGGAACCAAAGAAGTTCGCCGTTTTGGAATTGTCTTGGAAAAGTTTTAGGAAGGGCCGACTTCTTCAAAAATGATTTATTTTTCCAAAGTAGGGAGACTCGCTCTTATTCAGGTAGTTCTAACAAGGGTTCCTAGCTATTTCTTGTCCTCATTTAGCTTCCTGAATTCAGCGTCTTGAGAGATTGATGAGAATTGTTTTGTGGGAAGTGATGTAGGAGGGTGGTGGTTTGCATTTAGTTAAGTAGGGGGTGGTTCTTAAGCCTGTCAACCTTGGGGTTGGGGTGTTTAGATTTTGAAATTAGGTTGCTTTTTTTTTTTTTTTTTATAAGAGATAATTTCATTGATGATCTCATTGATGATTGAAATTTACAGAAGGGATGTAATATCCATGGTGTTTACAAAAGACCTTCCCAATTTGCAATGAGGGAGGTATAACTATAGGAGGTAAAAATATTAGATAGTTTCCACCAAAATGTAGCTTGGTAAGCAACATTGTCGAAAAGTTTTGTACAAGTCTGTATCTTTTCTGCGAATATTCTCTGATTTTTTTCTTTCCCAAATTCTAAAAGAAAGCCTTGATGAGGTTTTTCCATAGTAGGTCTTTTTCATTTTTGAAAGGGTGGTACGTTAAGGCCATGTTCAATAGATTCTTTTACCTCCCTAGGATATGTGAGATGCCATCCAAATATATTGAGAGCCATTGTCTAGAAATTCTGAGCGTGTGTACATAGCATAAATAAGTAGTTTTGTGATTCGCTTTCTTTCTTGCCTAATGGACACCAATTTGGAGAAAGAGTGATACAAGACATTCTTTTGCTAATGGCTTTATGCGCTATTTCCCAAAGGAAGAACTTTACCTTTTTAGGATGATGTCCTTTCCATACCGTCTTTGCTAGCATGTGATTTATTGCTTCTATTTTTTCCCATGTTTATCATTAAGGAAATGAGGCTCTCTTGGCCAATGGTTGTGGCATTCCTTCTCAAAGATTGATGTGCTGTAGTTTAGAGTGATAGCGAGTAGGTGTTGCCCCATGCTTTTGAGTGGTCTTTGAGTGGGGTGTTGAGGAGCCTCTGCAAATTCCTTTGCAGAGCTATTTCTATGGGTCTTCCTTTTTTTTTTTTTTTCAATTTTTTAATTGTTATGACTTACTTATTCCTTGGGCTCTACTTTCTTTCAGATTAGAAGTTGCATCTTATGGCTTCTGTGTGGTGTTCTCCAAACTAGTCTTCTTCAATTTCTTTGGGCTTTCATTGCCCTTTGTTAGATAGAGAGGCAGTTGAGGTGAGAGATCTCCTTTTTATGCTTTGAGACCACCTTATTGTTCTGGGAGAAAGGATGTTAGGGTGTGGTTCCCCTGATCTTGATAGGGAGATTTCTTGTCATTCCTTTTTAACCCTTTATCCTCTCCCCTTGCTCAATTGGCTACTCTTGAGACTTTAGTCTTCTCCTCTTTATAGAAGACAAAAGTTACGAAAAAAAAAGGTCGAGGTTTTTGCTTTTACTAAGGAGAGCCAATGCTTTGAATCATGCCCAATGGCATTCTTCCTTCATCTTGCTTCTGCTATGGTGCATTATGGGCAAAATGCATTTGGAGGATTTAAGTCGTTTGCTATGGGAGTACTGGTTTGAATTTCCTTTGGGATCAGTGGTCGAATTCTTTTGGGGTTAGTTGGGCTTGGAATAGGGACGTGTTATTTGATGGAGGAGGTGACTTTGCATCCCGCTTTTAGGGAGAATGGTAAAATATTGTGGCAAACGAGCTTCTTTGCTATTTTGTAAGCATTGGGTTGGAGTGTAATAGTAGAAGTTTGAGGGATGTGGAGAAATCTAGGGAGGAGGTTTAGGAGTTGGTGAGATTTAATAGTTCCGTTTGGGCGTTGGTCATAAGATTGTTTTGTAATTATGATATTGGTCCTTTCTTTTGGATTGGAGTCCTTTCTGTAGTTAGTGTTGGACTCCGCCTTTATGGAGATTTGTTTTCTGTTTGCTTTGGTGTTGTTTCATTTTCTCAATGCATTTGATACATTCAGATATGTGGTTCCATATTCTTTTTTTTTTTCCCCAAATAATTGGAATTCTCTAACTGCATTGCTTTGATGTTCTTTTTATATATGTGCCTCTCGTGCATTATGAAACACACAGAAGTTATGTAATCATTGTGAGATAGAGAACTGAGAACGGAATATAATATCCTGGTTCAGAACTAATATATTGGCATTTGGACATAAGTGCCATGTTTACGCGTACTCTGAATAGGATGAAGTTTCAGTTATTCGTTTTGTTTGAGAAATGTATACATGAACAGCTTTTTAGCGAAATGTCACTGCAAGATCTACTATTCTCTGGAGATGCAAACAAAAACTTCCTTTCAAGAGAATATTACTTATTTATTTTAACTGATTCTCAGTTGCATTAATTTTCAGTATGGTTCAGTCTTTAACAAGCGAGGCTTCAAAGTCGGAGGATATATTTTTGCAGCTTCAAGAAATTGAGGAATCTGTTAGACTTGCATTTTTGAACTGTTTCCTTGATTTTGCAGGTATTATATGCTTCCAACTGTTTTTGTTATCCTTGCATGGAAATACTTCTTAATTATATCTAGTGATATACATCATTTAATACATACCTTATCTAGGTCATCTGGAGAATATTGGAAATGGGCTTATCCAGACCAAACAAAACAAAGACAATCTACACTTGCAGAATGGATTTTCTCATGAATTTCAGGACAAACTACTTTCAGATGTGCATGGGAATTTTGTGAATCCACATCAACAATTGTTAGTAGTCTTGAGTAATATTGGTTTTTGTAAAGAGGACCTTTCGTGTGAATTATACAGCAAGTACAAGCATATTTGGTCACATTATAGGTGAGTGATTAAGGCTCATTTTTACCTAGCAGATAACTACTTTGTCCTTCAAGATTCTAATAATACTTTTCCTAGATGTAGTTTAAAATCTCTTGGTTGACGTGATGTATAATATTTAAGTGCAATGCTTTACATTTTTCTAATTTTGAAGTACTTTAAACTCCTTGTGATTGAGATTATGGATGCTAAAAAAATTATATATATTTGCGAGGTTTCCACTAACGCCTTCCCTTCATTCTAGGGTAAAAACTGAAGAGGATAGCAGTGACCTTCAAGATCTTGTTATGTCCTTTACTGCAATTGAAGAAAAGGTCCTTGAACAGTATACCTATGCAAAGGTATTGCCAAAATGCATTCTAAATTTATATGGAATTTATTACTTTAAAGCAACAACTCTCTTGATTGATTCCTGCCTTTTCGTTAGAAGTATATTTTTACCATCCGTGAGTCCCTCCTTTCTTGTAAATATTTTGAAAAGAGGAGCGAGTCTTTGTGAACTGCTTGTTATTGACAAATCTGATGTTTCCTTCCACATTCAATGCAAATCATGCATTGAATTTGATTTTATTTTTTTATTTCATTTTTTATTTTTACATTTAAATTGTAATTTATTAATGTTGTGTGTGCCTGGTAATCTTATGTTCTGCAGTACTTTTTTTTTTTTTTTTTTTTT